TACCTTCCATAGTAGTAGGAGGTAAGCTCCCTGGTTTTTGGTGGAGAGGAAATGGGGGACATAACGTTTTTCATTCTCTGCCAACCCCTCTAACCAGTGTTGTAGAGAAATTGTTTTTCATACTAAGCTCTGTTGCCTCAAATAAATCTTACCTGCATTAAAAAAAACAAACTTATAATTATAACACCAAGGTTGAAAATATGAGTAACTAGAAGAAAACACTGAATAAAATGAAGAATTACTAACTATGCCCTAAGGAAAAAAAACAAAACAAAGGATAATCCATCCCAGAAGAAAAGAACTCACAACAACAACAAGCATAATTTTGGAGTGGGGAAATGGCTTGGTCCTAAGATTATAAAAGTGACTGTAAGAAGTGTTGTGTTTTGTTTCTTTTAAGAGATTATAAATGGAATTAGATTTGAGGAGGGGAAAAAAATGAAAGAATAAATAACTTAAAATAAGAGATTAGAAACCTTACCCAAGTAATGGAATCCCTGAAAAATATGACAGAGCAAACAGAATTCAGTGAATGTATGGAACAGCAAAAGATATTAGAACAAGATCAAAATACTGGAAAAGATAGAAGAAAATGTAAAATATCTGCAATCAAAAAACAATTGACCTGGAAACAAGTGAAAGAGAGATAATTTAAAAATATTTTGATTCTCTGAAAAGCATGAACAAGCAAAAAACCTATATGCTATTTTTCAAGAAATTTTGAAAGTAGAGCACTGGCCCTGGAGTCAGGAAGACCTGAGTTCAAATCCGGCCTCAGACGTGTAACGCTCACTAACTGTGACTCTGGGCAAGTCACTTAACTTCAATTGCCTCACCAAAAAAAAAAAAAATTATAAAAGAAAATTTCCAGGACCTATGAGAACCAGAGTGAAAATGGGGAGGGGATCCCTAAAATTTTCAGTTTTAAAAAATTTACTGAAAAAGAAAATCACCTCCTGAGAGAAACCCCAGTGACAACACCTAAATCCTGCACTTCTGAGTCAGATTTTTTAAAATGCTCCACGCAGACAGAAAGAGTAAAATTATCAAAGAATTCACAGTCAGAATTACACACGTCAACAAGCATTTATTAAGCACCACTATGTGCTAAGCAGTAGAAAACTAAAAGGTAGTTTCTTTTCTCAAGGATGTTACAGTCTAATAGCATAACAACATGAAAACAATTATGTACAAACAAGTATAAATTCTGCCACTATTTTAAAGTAGAGAAATGCTTGGAATACAATAAGTATTCCAAAGATAAAAGATGAAGACTTATAGCCAACAATGACTTACTCTGCAAAACTCAGTATAATCATATAGAAGAGAAAATAGGCCTATTTAAAAGAAAAAAGGAGTTTCAAGCATTCTTGATGAAGAAACTAGAGGTGATTGTAAATTTTGGAAGCAAACACAAGCATCTAAACAAATTTAAAGAGAGAAATAAATACTTGAGCAAGTAGGAGAGGCTAAATTATAATGGAGCACTTTCTAATAAGGGAAGAAGAGACGAGCATCCCCTTTAAAATCCTCATGTCTTTGAAAATCTCAGAGAGTTAAGAAAATGAACACAGGGCTTCAAAGTAGTTTTTGCTTTGGAGGAGGAAAGGAGGGAAAAGTGTAAAAGGTTATTATTGAGGTAAATACAAAATTAACCATCATAGCAGTGAATGTGAATGGAATAAACATACCCATAAAATGGAGGAGGGTAACAAATGAATTAGGTAGCAGAATCCAATACGTTTACAGAAAACACATTTGAAACAACGATTCACAAAGATTTAAAGGAGTGAAGCTAGAATAGAATTTATTATGTTTTAGGCAAGTTTAAAAAAAAAACCAGGGCTAGCAATTATGATTACAGGTAAGGCAGTGGTAAAAAATTGACATGATTAAAAAAGATAAATAAGCAGGAAAACAACATTATGTTCAGACACAGCCTAGATAATCAAGTAACATCAATGCTTAATACATATAGACTGAATGATATAACATCTAAGTACTTGAAAAACTAGTTATTCAAATTCCAGGGAGAAATGATCAATCTATAATAATTGGGAAGCACAGTATATTCCTTTCAGACCAAGACAAGTTTGACAAAAGAGAAAGGTACAGTAGATAGAGTGCCAAGCCTGGAGTCAGGAAGACTTAATTTCCTGAGTTCAAATCTGGCCTTGGACATTTACTAGCTGTGTGACCCTGGGCAGGTCACTTAACACTGTTTGCCTAAGTTTCCTCAGCTGGAAAATGAGCTGGAGAAGGAATGGCAAACCACTCCAGTACCTTTGCCAAGAAAATCCCAAATGAGGTCATGAAGAGTTGGACACAACTGAAAATGACTGGGCAACAAAAAAAGACCTAAATAGAACTTTGGAAAAGTTAACTTATGATAGATTGATTACTAATTGGTGATTGGATTAACAATCCAAATGATCAAGTGATTATTGATTGGAAATTGAAATAAATACACATATTTCTCAGATGTGTATGACCTTTAGCAAAAATTGACCAAATGCTAAATATAAAAATCTCACAAACATGTGCAGAAAAGCAGAAATATTAAACACTTTGTTGACCATAACAATAAAAGTTATAACCATTAAGGTTCCTTTAACAAAGCATTCAAACTTAAATAGATACAAAATAATTTAATCCTGTAGAATCATTCGGTAAAAGAACAGATCATAGAAATAATAGATAATTTCATTCTTCTTAAAAATAACGAGACAATATACCACATCTTTTGGGTTATAGCCAAAGTAGTCTTTAGAGGAAATTTCAATAAAATAGAGAAAGAGCAAGTCAATGAGCTGGTCATTCTAATTCTAAGAATTTGAAAAGCAATATTTTTTGTAAAAAATCAACCAAAAACAAAAATAGAATTTCTGAAAATCAAAGAAGAGAAAATTGAACTTAAAAGTAAAGCTAGAAGTTGTTTTAGGGGGGATTATATATATATATATATATATACACACATATACACACACATACATATATATATAAACCATTATCCAGTATGATTTTTAAAAAAGAAAGGAAAACCAAATTGCCTTTGTCAACAAGGAGAAAACACATAAATAAAAAAGAAATAAATGGTACTGTTTGAAATTATTTTGTGCAGTTATATGCCAACAACACTGACAACTTAAATGAAATGGATGAATATATGCAAATACTTAAAATACCTACAAGAACAAGAAATAGGGAATTTAAGTAGTTCAGCCTCAAAAAAGAAATTGAACAAGAAAATCCAGGACCAATTAATTTTTATCAAGCATTCAAAGAACAATTCCAATATCACCTAAATTGTTGGGGAGGTATAGAAAAGGCATCCTACTAAACCCCTTCCATGAGACAAATATGTCCTAATATCTAAACCAGGGAGAAAGAAAGTGGAGGGAGGGGAAAAAACCTAAATTCATATCTCTAATGAATATTTATGATAAAGTGTTAGTAAGGAGGGTGTAACAGCATATTTGAAAGATGACCACAGTATTTATACCAGGAATGCTGGGTTGTTCAGTATTAGGAAAACTTCAAACACAATAGAGCATTTTCATACCAGAAACAATAAAAATGAAATAATTATATAAAAGTGCAGAAAAGGCCTTTTAAAAATCATAACACCCCTTTAGGTTAAGAATATTAAAAAACACAAGAATAAATGACCATTCTTTAATATTGATAAATAGCAGCTATCTAAAATCAAGAGCTAGAATTGTCTATAATAAAGAAATAAGAAAGCCTTCCCAGCAAGACTGAGAGTAAAGCAAGAATGTTTACCATCACAGTCATTATTTGATTTTGTCCTAGAAATTCTACTTAAAAAAAAAGAAATTGAGGAAAAAAGCATGTAAAAAAGGAAACAACTTGAGCTCTTTATGTAGATAATATGATAGTTTACTTAGAGAAACCTAAAGCCAACTAAAAAAATTAATTGAAACAATTAACAACTTCAGTAAGAAAGGAGTCATAGGATATGAAGAAGCAATTCCCAAAAGAAAGAATACAGGCTACCAATAACCTTATGTAAAACTCTACAAATCAATGACTACAAGATAAATACAAATTAAAATGTCTTAAGATTCTATATCACACTTTTTAAATTGGCAAAAGAAAAATAACAGCACATTAATGCACTATTCCTGGAACTATGAAGTGATCCAACCATTCTGGGAAGCAATTTGGAACTATACTCTAAAAGTCATTAAACTCGACCTACCATTTGACCCAGATATACCAATACTATCAAATTAGTCAAAGGAAGATGGAAAAGGGTGCATTTGTATGAAAAAAAGATTTATAGCAGATTTTTTGTTGTTGTTGTTGTAGCAAACAACTGTAAACAAAACAGGTGCCTATCAACTGGGGAATAACTAAACAAATTATCGAACATGAATGTAATGGAATATTGCCACCCTATCAGAAATGACAAAAAGGATGAATTCAGACAAACCTGGAGAGGTTTCTATGAACTGATGCCAAGTGAAGTAAACAGAACCAGGAGAAAGCAATCTTCAATCTCTATATTTTGTAAAGAAAAGTAGCTTTGAAAGACTGAAGAACTAGGATCAGTACAATAATTAATCATGACTCTAGAAGTCAGATAATAAATCGCACTCCTCACTTTTTTTTTTGTGAGGTGATCAGGGTTAAGTGACTTGCCCAAGGTCATACAGCTAGTAAATGTTAGGAATCTGAGGCTGGATTTGAACTGAGGTCCTCCTGACTCCAAGGCCAGAACTCTATTCACTGCACCACCTAGCTGCCCCTATGCTCCTTACTTCTTAGCAAGGAAGTGATGAACTAAAGTTGTAGAGTGATGCATAAATTTTCGTATGGAGAGATTGAAGAGAGATTATCTTGCACCGGCTTTCTGTTTTTTAAATTGTTTTTAAAGTTATCAGCGTGTTTTATAATTAGTAATTCAAGTTTGGAAATTTCTTTTATACCGCCATTGTATTTTGACAGGATCATCTTTTTGTTTTTTTTTTCTGTAGGACAGGATGTAGCTGACAGATGGTATAGTGAAATAAGAAATTATGACTTTAAGAGTCCAGGATTCTCCCCAGAATCAGGTAAGTATTTTTTGCCATTATTTTATCCTCCAAAATACAAGATTTTGTTTTTGATTTCTTTTAATTATGATGATAGGAAACTCAATAAGTTAACATTTCCAAGATTACATTTCTAATATTTCTTTTATTTTATCTTTCAGAAAAGCAAAAAAAAGTTAGAAAAGGCAGAAATTTCACCATTTTTTCACTTGGGGTTTTGACTAAAACATTTCTGGTTCATTATAGAACTGCAGGTTTTCATAGTCTGTGATAATCTTATAGCTGAGTATCATAAGACTTGAGAATTCAGGGGGAATTTATACTGGGCAGTGCATAGATCACTTCTCAGTTGCTAATGTATTATTTCTATCAATCTCTGTTGAAATGATAGATAAAAGTTCTGTTTTATATGCCTTATGTTAATAAAGGTAGTTCATAAATGCTAGTTTTTGTTGGACTAGAAAGGTTTGGCCAAAAAAAGAAACACAAGTTAGACCCAAGCATGAGACGTCAGAAGTGTGAGCAACAGAGGAAAAGAAGTCTAGTCCAACTGTTAACATGAACCAGAGTCTCCTCTACCACAGCCCTGTCCATCAATCGTCCAGCCTCTGTTTAAAGAATAGATAGATAGATAATCCATTACCTCCAAAGGTAGCCCATTCCACTTTGACACAACTCTGCTTTTTGGGAAATTTTTCCTTATATCAAGCCTAAGCTATTTCTCTGTAACTTCCATTATTTCTATTTTTTTTCTTTTGAGGCTAAGCAGAGCAAGTCTTCTACATGACATTCTTTCATATACGTGAAGACAGCCATCCTATTCCACCTAAATATAATTCAGTTCAGTAAACATTTATTAAATACCTCCACCATGCTAAGCCCCATTCTGGATCACTGCCTTGTCATGGTGAAGGGGGCTTGCATAGCGTAATGAAACTATGAGCTATGCTGCGCATGGTTACCCAAGATGGACATCTTATGTATCATTGGACTTTAATGGGTGGGAGTGAGTGAATTTAATTCAAGTGATCATTACATGTACTCCTGTGGTCAAGAATCCCTTAGAAGAAATGGAGTAGCCCTCATAGTCAATAAAAGGGTGAGAAAAAGCAGTATTGGGGTAAAATCTCAAAAATGACAATGATATCTATTCAAATCCGAGACAAACCATTCAGCATCACAGTAATATAAATCAGTGCTCTGACCACTGATGCCAAAGAGGCCAAAGTTGATGAGTTCTATGAAGATATACAACATCTTCTAGAAATAACACCAAAAAAATGTCACTTTCATCAAAGGGGATTGATATGCTGAAGTAGGAATTCAAAAGATAGTAGGAATAACAGGTGAGTTTGGCTGTGAGGTAAAAAATGAAGCAGGGCAGAGACTAATAGAGTTTTGTAAAGATGACTCGCTGGTCATAGCATGAATGCTCAGACATTCCTTGTTTGAACAGTGACACTATTTTCACACATCAGCAAGGTTATGCATAAGATTCTGTAAGCTAGGCTTCAGCAGTATGTGAACCAGAAGAGCCAGCTGGTTTGCAGAGAGACAGAGGAACTAGAGACCAAATTGCCAGCATTCACTGGATTGTGGAGAAAGCACAGGGGTTCCAGAAAAAACTTGTATTTCTGCTTCATTGACTACACTAAAGCCTTTGTAGTGGATCACAACAGAATTGTGGCAAGACCTCAAAGAGATGGGACTACCAGATCATCTTATTTGTTTCCCAAGGAACCTGTATGCAGGTCAAGAAGCAACAGTTAGAACTGAACATGGAACAACTGATTGGTTTCAAAGAGTACGACAGGGCTGTATATCGTCACCTCATTCATTTAACAGAGTCCATCATGTGAAATGTTAGGCTGGATTTAAAGCCGGAATTAAGGTTTCTTCTCAAGAAATATCAACAATCTCAGATATGCAGACAATACCACTGTAATGGCAGAAGTTGAAGAGAAATTAAGAAGCCTCTTGATGAGAGTCAAAGAGAAGAGTTTAAAAGCTGGCTTAAAGCTTTAACATAAAAAAAAAAACACCTACGATCTAGCTCTTCTCAGCAATACAGTGATCCAAGATAATTCCAAAAGACTAGTGATAGAAAATGCTAACCACATCCAGAGAAATAACTGTGAATTCTAAGTACAGATCGAAGCATACTGTTTTCACATTTTTGAGGTTTTTTTCTTTCTCACATAGTTTTTCCCTTTTGTTCTGATTCTTCTTTCACGACATAACTAATGTGGAAATATGTTTAACATAGTTGTACGTGTATAATCTATATTGCTTGCTGTCTTGGGGAGGGGAAAGGGGAAGAGAAAAATTTGGAACTCAAATTTAACAAAAATGAATGTTTAAAGCTGTCTTTACATTTAATTGGGAAAAAAAACCCCTAAGCTCTTGGCAACAGGTCCCATCACTTTCTGGCAAATAAATAGAGGGAAAAGATATGGAAACAGTATCAGAGTTTATGTTATTGGGCTTAAAGATCACTGCATGTGGCCAGTGCAGCCGTGAAATTTAAAGATACTTGCTCCCTGGAAATAAAAGTATGCGAAATCTGAACAGCATACTAAAAAGCAGAGACATCATCACCTTGTCAACAAAGGTTCCTATAAACAAAGCTATGGTTTTTCCACTAGTAATATATGACTCTCTGAGTTGGACTATAAGGAAAATTGAAGGCTGCAGAATCGATAGTTTTTAATTCTGGTGCTGAGAAGACTTTTGAGAGTCCCTTGGACATGAAAGAGATCAAGTCAGTTAATACTTAAAAGAAATTAATTTAGTCTGTTCATTGGAAGGACAGATACTAAAGCTGAAGCTTAAATCCTTTGGTCACATGATAAGAAGACAAGACTCATTAGAAAAGACCCTGATGCTGGAAAAGATTTGAGTCAAAAGGAGAAGGGGATGGCAGAGGATGAGATGGACAGAGAGTGTCATGGAAGCAATGAACATGAGCTTGGACAGACTTAGGGAGATAGTGGAGGATCGAAGGGCCTGGCCTGTTACGGTCCATCGGGTCATAAAGAGTAGGACACGACTGAACAATAACAACATATGCCAGGCATTGTGCTAAGCACTGGGAATACAAATGAGAAAAAGAGACAGTCCCTGCCCTGAAGGAGCTTACAATCTAATGAGGGAAGACTACACAGAAAAGGAAACTGAAAAGGGAGGAAACCAGGGAGTACCTAGCTCTGGGGCATGTTGTTTCCATGGAGTTAGAGCGGAGCAGAGCAGCTGATGGAAAATGGAGTTATCAGGAAGGTTATATATATTATAAACAAAGGCACTGGGGGGAGTTTAGTGCTCTGCCCTCCCTCCGATTAGAGGGGAGAGACAGCTAATCCTGAGTTGAAGAAGGATAGACTCAAAATCTTTTCTTCCCTAAACTAAACAGCCTGAAGTTTTTAGATATGGTCTGAGGAGGGCAGAGTGCAACATGATCTTCCTCTTCATTTGAGACACTCTTGCCTTTCACTGCAGCCTAAGATCTCTCTAGCTTTGGTGGCTTCTGTGTTAGACTTTTCACTCTAGTAAGTTTGCAGTTCACTGTAACCACAGATCTTTTTCAAACAAGCTATTATATAGTAATTTAGTCTTGTGACTGTTTTTTTTTAAACAAACCCAAGTATAGGACTTTGTTCATCTTTAATCAAATTTCATCTTATTAGGTTTGGCCCATCGTTCTGGCCTATTAAAATCTTTGTGGGTCCTGACTCTGTCATCCAACATGTTAGGTGTTTCGTGGAACTCAGAGCTTCTAGCTTCTTATTAAAATTTAATAAGCATGCTTTTATCCTAGTCACTGATAGAAATGTTAAAAAAATGGATCCTTTGAGCATTCCTCTAGAGACCTCCTTTCAAGAATTAGTCCTATCATTGAACTATGAATTCACATAACTGTATCATCATTTACCCCCATGTCTTTCTATCTTGTTCAGAAGAATAATATGATAGACTTAAATGCTTTGCTGAAATGTTAAGTGTACTATGTATATAGCATTCCTGATCCCTGACTAGATCTAGTAACCCTTTCAAGAAAAAAAAAAATTAGTCTAGAATGACCAGTTTTCTATAAAGCTTTGCCTGATCAGTGTTTCCCCATATAAATCCCTGTAATAATATATTCTTACCTGTAATAATATAATTACCTTGAATTATAAGACACTCATTAGCCAATCTATGTATTTCTATTCTCTGAGAATGTGTTCTCTGTTGCTTTGTCTGATTTTAAATCTTTTTTATCCCTTAAAAAAGTTCTGTAACCAGTTTTACATCTGTTCCAGAAAAAGAAATTAGAACTTTTTTTTCTAGTTAGTTTTTTGGCAATTATAATTCAGAAAAAAATGTTTTCAAACAATGTTCGCCCCCTGCCTTATTTCCCTCTACTATAATAGGTCTTTTGTACCTTTTCATGTGATGTAATTTAGCCTATTCTGCCTCCCCCTTTCCTCTTCTCCCAATATAATACTTTTTTCCCCACCCTTTAATTTTTTTTTTTATATCATCACATCAAATTCAACTTATACTCATACCCTCTGTCCATGTATATAACTCCTTCTAATTGCCCTGGTAGAGATACAGTTCTCAAGAGTTACAAGGATCATCTTCCCTTGTAGGGATGTAAACAGTTTAATCTTATTGAATAACATGTTTTGTTTTGGTTTTTTCTTGTTTACCTTTTTATGCTTCTTGTGAGTCTTGTATTTGAAGATTGAATTTTCTGTTCAGCTCTGGTCTTTTCATCAGGAAAGTCTGAAAGCCCTCTATTTCATTGAATTTCCATCTTTTCCCCTGAAAAATTATGCTCAGCTTTGCTGGGTAGTTGATTTTTTGTTGCAATCCAAGCTCCTTTGCCTTCTGGAATATCGTATTCCAAACCCTCTGATCCTTTAATGTAGAAGCTGCTAAATCTTGTGTAATCCTGACTGTGGCTCCTTGATATTTGAATTGTTTATTTCTGGCTGTTTACAGCATTTTCTCCTTGACCTGATAATTCTGGAATTTGA